GCTTTTCAAGGTAATCTGCTGAATTAACATTACATAAATACCTGTTCCTTCGTAATTATTAAAAACTCCAGTAACAATGGATAAACATTAAAAGCGAAAGTGACAATAACAATATTTCATTGTGGTTGGGAGGCCCAGTCAAGAATTTTCCTTTTCTTTCAATTAGTCTGTCCGGACATATTTTATACTAGTGATAACGTCATTTGAGAGCACTAATTTGCGAATAACTTTTGGTTATTAACAAATATTTTAATACAATACCATATTTAAAAAAATAATCGGTGCAACATAAAACTATTTTAACTAAATAAGAATATTTTTTAAATTAGGCGCGACTTTATAATTTAAAAATTATTAAGTATTATTTGTTAGAGAAAATTTAAATAATATTCAAGAAGGCCTATTTTTTCAGCTGCCATGATCTTGTGTCAAATTTCTAAAAGGTTTTTTTAATTTTCAACGATTTCAACAATACCTCCAACAAAAAGTTATAGTGTAACGATACCAACCTACGTTAAGTGAAGAACCTATTAAAATCAATAAAAAAGTCAATAACCTATAAATACTAGAACCATTTCGGTGCTTGGTGGTGAAATGAAATTCTTAGATATGAATCTGTGGTTCTGAAAAGAACCGTTTTGAAATGTGGACAACTCACAAGAGGTGTTCGAAGTTCTGCCCATTTAACTCCAAACATGTTTCTACTCGTTTAATCATGTTATTGCGCACTCTGCGTAACATTCCTGGACTCACATTTTGTGCAGCTTCCCGTATTCAAGTTACTAACTCCTGCTCATTTTGTTGGTTTGGTGTTCGGTACACAAAAGATTTAATGTGCCCCCAGAAGAAGAAATCCATCCGGAGTCACGTCAGGGGATCTTGGTGGCCAGTTTGCTGGTCCATTTCGGCCTATCCATTTGTCTGCGTATTAATGATTAAGCCAAGCTCTTACCGGAGCAGCAAAATGGGCTGGAGCCCCGTCCATTTGGAGCCAGATACCCAGGATTCCTGCCCAAACATTTACACTGAATCGGTCTTGGTGATGGAACGAAATTGTGGCATGTGAGTTCTCGGTGGCATAAACATGAGAATTGCGGGAGTTGAAAAATCCATCTCTACTGAAATTTGCTTCGTCGGTCCATAAAAGGTGTTGTAAAAACTGCGAATTTTGTCGGTTTTGTCCCAAAAGCCAATTACAAAAACATTTCCTTAATGGATAGTCGGTGTGTAAAAGTGCATGTGTTTTAGATAAATGGTAAAGGTGAAGCCCTTCCTCGGCAATAATCCGGTGTACAGTTGCCTGGGAAAGTGTAATTTGTTGCGCAATGCTCCGTGTACTCCTGGAAGGGTCTGCTGCGATTAAATTCAGTACCTGTTCTTCTATGTCCGGAAGCCGAGCACCTCTTGGTCGTCCACTTTCTATTTCAATTCTTGGAGCCAATCGTCCAGTATCTCTATCCCTTAAAATTAGCCGACTCAGGACATGCGCGCTGGGCTATCGTCGTATGAGAAATCTGTTGGCGTAAGTTCTAACAGCTTCTGATACATTACTGTGGCATTCTCCCATAACTAATATCATATCCGCATATTCAATATTGGTGAACATTTTGTAAAAGAAGCTTGAAAGTCAGTAACTAACAATTTGACAAATGCTTATTCGCGACAAAAGATGTGACTACCTGATAATGACAAAAAACATCATTGCCGCTGTGATTTTTCATCGAAAAATTGTAGAAGAGTGTTTTTTTAATATCGAAAATTTTCGTAATTTGAAGCAAAGATAGTAATTTTTCTTTTCGAGCAGTTAAGTATTTCAATATGCTACCTTAATATCTTCTACAAATTTGCGAAAAAAAATATTTCAACATTTTTATCGTACTCTCCAAGTGAGCCCCTATAACCCCTTAAAAGGAATGACGCCTATTTTGAATCACCCTGTAGAAGTAAAAAAATTCAAAAGAGTTACAAATTACAAAGTTTGTCAGATCGTCTTCTTTTGATCCAAACAGTTGAAAATCAAATTTAGACTTTGTTATCAAGCATTATTTTGACGTTGTCCCATGTTTAATTGGTAGTATATTGAAATACTTAAGCATTCGTAAAGAAAAATTACGATCTTTGCTTCATATTATAAATATTTTTTATATCAAAAAAGTTCTCTTCTATAATTTTTTGTAAAAGTAAAAGTTGCAATGACGTTTTTTGTCATTAACAGATAGTTACAGGTAAATGGTATTTGTCAATAATAACAATAGTTTGCCAAATTGTGGGTTACCTTGAGGCTTCTTTCACGAATTTGCGGATATGCGATTAATTCTGGGGAAATGCCACAGTAACATAGCAGAAGCTAAAATACTCAGGCACTCAGAGCATTGCACAAGAACTGACACTTTTCCTGGCACCAAATAAATACCGCGGAAGGGTTACATTCCAACCACGTATGTAAGGCACGCACAGCAGAAAGACACCTTAAATCAATGTCTTACTGAACACTAGTACAAATAAATCAGGAGTTATTTAACTGAATACGACAAACTGCTCGAGAAGAGTGGATAATAAGGTGACGACACAGGGACTAACTTGTTTGGAGTTAAAGATGCAAATGTATGTTTATCTGTAAACTGTAAACAAATCAATTCGAGGATATGAAGATATTATTATACATTATTATTGACATTTCGAAAAAGTACGTTCAGACGTTTAACGAATCCTGGTGAATGAACCGTTTATCATAGTCTATTTTATTGTTATTTTCTGTATAATTTCATGGTTGCCGGAGTTTTTAATAATTACGAAGCAACCGGAATTTACGTAATGTTAATTTGGCAGATTATCTTGAAAAACATTGTTGCCGTCTTTCTGATAGAGTTTTGGGCAAATTTCTCAGTTTCTAATAACAATTAATTTATTTAACTATTTTTTTTTGGACTTCTAAAACACCGCCAGACAGCACCTCTAGAGAAATGACGCAAATTTTGAATCACCCTATGTTTGTAATGAGTGCCCCTATGTGCTTTTTCTGTCTCTTGAATCAATTTTCCTCGTACTAATTTACAATATTGTAACGGAAATGGCCTGGGGTACTTACCTTTGGAATGGGGGATCGAAATTCATGGTATTTCAGTAAATGGGAGCCTCATTTGGGCCCCATTTACTGTCAAATATGACACTGACAAGCGGGAAGTTTCGCACCTGTTCTGGAGATTTCTAGAACTATCTGGGATACCTGGAG